TGCTTTCAATTGATCTAAAAAAACACTTTGCAATCGTTCTTCAGTCGTTTCTATACTAACTGATATCTACATGTTCATTGCCTTATATATACTTTTACAATTTAAGTACCTAAATTTTGAGTACCTGTATCTAACTATCTAATTAATGTTACCTTGGCAACACTAACCGGATAGATTAATTAGATGAGGATGAATCAATTAATATTACATAAGAAAAGAAACTGAATTAATCTGAAATTTTGTCTTTACTGTTTTTTATTAAAAAAATTTATTGTTTAAACAGGACACTACTTACGCGCCTTATACTCATAATTGTGAGTGTCCTAATTATTGATGAAATAAGGTTCAAAATGTCACCTTATACGGAATGCTACTGCATCACACGATCATGAAGGTTCGTTACATTTGCAATATTGCCGCGGTTACCCTTAATATCAGTTTAAAACAAAAAAAAAAGTTTTTGTACTTCTTGTTTCAAAATGCGGCAGACAAAACCTTCAGATCATCTATATTTAATCCTATGTCGTTAATGAACAGGAAAAATAGAAAGGAAGCAAACAAATTGGGACGAATACTTAAAATAAAAGAATTTTAGCAGATTTGAATCAAAATCATTGAGTGTTGAGATGAGCAAGGTGTGGTCCAACATAGCGAATGTCTTTGACAAGTCTGAATCTATACTTGTTTGTGTCTACTTGAAGCTGATTTTCTAAAGCACAACTTATCATTTGTTTCAATATTTTTAGAAAAGCTTGGTAAAGCAAAGTTGTTCAGGAATCATTACATTTTGTACTTTAGGAGAATTTCTAGGAACATAATTCACGAGTGGGGAACAAGTTTACAAGCAACACAGATGTGAGCATCTGAGTTAATTGTAACTACCAGCCTAAGTCTCTCCAGACAAAAAGTGCCAATCATTACCGATGATCCCAAAAGAACTTAACTTGTGGGATCCCCCAGAGAAAAAAAAAGACTTGATCAAATTATTCGAGAAAAATCTCATTACTCAGGTACATTGCCCCTTTTATGACAGCTCGTAAGAACAAGAATGCGTTTACCTAATCACCTTGAAGTTTATTAAATTTAAACTCTCATTGTTCAAGTCAGAATTGAAATTGTGAATTAGAATCCCCAAGGCGCAATATTTAGTAGGTATTACAAAAAACATTCGAGTGGTAAAACTTTTTTGTGAAGAAAAAATCGAACGCTCATAGTTGTAACATATTTTATTTGTTAAAGCAATAGACAAAATTATAAAAATATGAATTGATAAAAAATTCAAAAAAAAAACACAACTCTGAAAATTTTCAAAAAGAACAAAACTCTATTTATTGTCATTGAAAAAAATTGGGGTACCACTGTGGAAGTGCGATACACAATATAAAAATGAATTGAAAAAAATTAGTTTTTCCGTCTCCTCAGTCTTGACCCCCAAGCATTGACCCCTGCGTCGTCATAGTACAATGGCTCCAGCTCCTGTAGCCATTGCATAATCGCATTTATCTTCCACTTCGGCAAGTATTGTGACTGCAATTCGTTTCCACAATATATCGTCCCAGAAACCGGATCCTCCTCAAACTCAGAATCATCTTCACTGCTGTCTGTCATATCTTCTTCTATGGCGCTACTTTCTTTGGATCTGCTTCGCTCTTTTGATATATTTCTAGGATCTTTGTCATTTCTGGAACAGGTATCAGAAGATCTAGATGTTAATCTGGAAATTGGCCTTTTTCTACAGATTCTATTTTTAACAACTCCACTTCGGCTTGGATCCTTATCAAATTTATCTTCTTTTGAAGGTTTATCTGCTTCAAACTGTTGCATACTAGCTAGTACGACAACTAAATCCTTTTGAATAGTAGCAGCCTCTTTCTTCGGCCAATTTCTTTGGGGTTTAATTGGTTCATTACACGTACGTATTACACGTACGTACATTACACGTACTTTTCAGTACAGAATACACAATTTGAAGTTACATATTAAAAAAAATGTCAACTCATTGCTTATATAATGGCAGTTCTTAAATTCAGTTCTCGAACTTGTTTTCTGCTCAAATTTTTAATGTGGTCGGGAAGTTTATTGAAGAGGTTCAAGTCGAGCGAATTTTTGGTCGAGGGAGTGAGTCTGTATCGCGGATTGATCAACTNCGACAAGCAAATCCTTTTGAATAGCAGCAGCCTCTTTCTTCGGCCAATTTCTTTGGGGTTTAATTGGTTCTTTGTAATTTCTGGAACAGACATCAGACGTTATCTTTCGTCTCTTAGATAGCCTACTTCTTGATCTTGCGCTACTCCTGTGTTGGGAACTTGACCTTTTTCTACAGTTTCTATGTTTAGCACGTTGACTTCGGCTTGAATCCGTATCAATTTTTTCTTCCTTCGAAGGTTCATCCGCTTCAAACTGTTGCATAATATCTAGTACGATAACTAGATCTTTTTGAATAATAGCAGCCTCTTCCTTCGACCGATTTCTTTGGGGTTTCATGTCTTATGTTGAATAATTCGTAGCAGGTTAGCAATAAAAGAATCAGAAAATTCAACTCCACTGCCCACGATTGCATTAAATTATGCTAAAAACACTTCGCAACAGCTCTTCAGTCGTTTCTATACTAACTGATATCTACATGTTCACTGCCTTATATATATTTTTACAATTTTAAGTACCTGAATTTTGAGTACCTGAATGTAACTATCTAATTAATGTTACCTGAGTAACATTAATGTTCTCGAAAAAGAAATTTACAAGAATCCCGCCCTCTTCTGCAAGACAAAAACTGACTGCACAAGTTATTCACTGCAACCACCCCAAAAGAGTATACCATACCTTAGATGAGAATCTGTTAAGGCATAGTAACACTGCTTTCGCTGCAGCGAACCCCAGTTCCTTTGAGATGTTTCTCAGTGCGAAACATCCTGATGCCATTTTTTTGTGGATGTGTGCAATAGCTGAGAGAATTTTGAATTTTCATCCAAATAAAGTCCAAAAAACTTCAAATTGGAGTTATTTTTTATTGTGTTATTGTCTAGGGCTAGAGAGATATCAGGTATATTACTCACCGAGCGGTGAGTAGTCATATTCAATAGTTCTTGTGGATTCAGAAACTTTACACGTACCTTTCTGTACAGAATACACAATTTGAAGTTACATATTAAAAAAATGTCAACTCATTGCTTATATAATGGCAGTTCTTAAATTGAGTTCTCGAACTTGTTTTTGCTCAAATTTTTAATGTGGTCGGGAAGTTTATTGAAGAGGTTCAAGTCGAGCGAATTTTTGGTCGAGGGAGTGAGTCTGTATCGCGGATTGATCAACTGATTATTGTTTTTTGTATTATAATTAAGCATATCGGAGTGAGTTCGGTAAAAAGATACCGATGTTCTTGTGCAACTGTAACAGGCAATAAAAAATATACGCTGAATATAGAAACATAATTTTGAATTCGGTATAGTTTCTACACGATTCCTTATATCTCAGACAAGCTAATAATATAACTTTAAGAGAGATACCAAAGTTTCCCCATAGTCGTATACCATATGTAAAGTGTGAATGGAATAGGACAAAGTGAGATATTCTCAATGCTTCGAAACTGGTCACTTTTTTCAGTTATGTTAAGAGAAATAATTGATGAACAGGAAGAATGGAAAGGGAGGCACACCGCCTCCCTGTGGAAGTCCACAATTCATAAGTACTTTATGATTTTTAGTATAATAAACATCATATTACTTTATTTAAATGTTGTATTTACTTATATATATCGTACAAATTGTATTCGTCAAAGCAATAGGCACAACTAAAAAAACATGGATTGATCAAAAATTTCAAAAACAAATTATTAAAAAATGATGAAAATGTTAAATATAGGAAATATATGCACAACGTGATAGAAATACATTAATGGAATATTCAAAAGGAAAAAAATTAATTTTGAGTAAGTGTTTGATGATTTGCAATGATACAGTTGTGAGATGAAAGTGTTAAATATACATATATCATAACAATTATACTTTCATGAAATAAGAAACAAATTCGCAAACTTTAGTCTGATTTCTACAAAATTGTCTTTATTATTTTTTATTTGTTACGACCGGTTTCGGTTTATTAAACCATTCTTGGTCCCACTAATTTGAATTCAGTGAAAGTTTGTGAGGATGGATAAGTGTATGTATGTGGCTCTTTCACGCCTCATTCCCCAGGTATACCGTTCCTTTCATGAAAGCTCGTAGCTTTTTCCAGCTTCTGGAGCCATTGCACAATCCTATTTATCTTCCACTTTGGTACGTATTGTATTCCAACCCTTGGACAGTTGTAGCCTCGGATTCTTGTTCAGGAATAGGAAATATCCAATCCTCGTTTCCACAATTTTATATTCTTTTGAAGGTGCATCAACTTCAAACGGTTGCATAATATCTAGTAGGATAAGATCCTTTTGACTAATAGCAGCCTCTGTTTTTGGCCGATTTTTTGGGGGTTCATGTCTTGTGTTGAATAATTCGATTCAATATGATCACCTGGTAACTTGTTTATAAAAACCAGGCATGTCAAATATTCAAGAATATTTTTGTTGATTTTCAGATTTTTTTATGATTTTCGATATCACCAGCTTATTTGGAAGATGTTTTCTTGCTTTTCTGGGTACAGACAGAACCAGGGCATTATTCAATACCGATGGAGGAGTGAAAAAAAGCCAAAAAAGAACAATAATCTGTCACCAAATTTTTTTTGGATTTTCAAGTAACACAAAACCGCCCATTGTGTTTATACGCTCCTTCCTCAGGCGTCTGAGATCACGCCTGAGGAAGCTATTGTATAGTTAAACACATACTGCAGTCCACTGAAAATCTCACGATAAGGGGGTACTTGGATTTTCATCAAGTATCGGCCAATTCCATCCCATTTTTTTTGCACGTTTTCAACTTCTTGAGAAATATCCCCCAGTTTCTATTCGAAAGTCTATAAAGGTATGTGATATTAAAGCTGAACTTCTTGAAAATTATTTATTGATGATTGCATGATCAAAAGTTCATTAAGTCTCTTCTAGGTATTTCTGTTATTATGGAACCAAAACTTCATTGAAATACATTTTTTTATTGATAAGTTACCATTGGAAAAAAAATATATAAAACTTTCTCAACATAGGAATATACAAGTCCAGTTCCTTTTCTTTTATAAACAAGGTATAAACAAATCCAGGATTGAACTAATAGAATTAACAAACTCCCAAGTTTTTCAACGTCCCCTTCCTCGTCCTCGCCCCAAACTCTTATTGATGCTTCTGAAGGTAGTTGACCTATTATGGCCTTTACTTCCGCCTCTTTTTCTACCCTAGAAAAATTCAGAGAAATCACTATAAATATTATAAACCAAAGACGCAGTAAGTCAAGTAGCGCACTTAAATTGATTCAGAATATTATTGTATATCAAACATTCGTTGTGGAATAAAAATCAGATATCATTCACATGAGTTCTACTTTATTCCCTCATCCTTCTTTTTTTGTATCAAGATGGAGTAGTAGAAAGCCAAAAACTTTCTTTCCCAAAAATTAATCACATATTGATATATTCATCATATTAACAGATAGAAAGTAAATCCTCTAGATTTTAAGAACAATACTGTATTTTTAGGATATCTAATGTAGAAACTACAGTTTTGCGCTAAAGTCTGAGTTTTATTTGAATATAGTCAACAACCCTAGTAGTTTATTTGAAGTTAACAGAAATGTCTTTTTTTTTCATCTGAATAATAAAATGATCGAATCAGTATCATCCATCACAAATAAATTTTCATTTTAGAGTTCCAGTTATATAATAAACAGTAATAGATATTACAAACTCTTACCCTAGATTTGAAATTACTGTTAAGCCCTTTAGGCCTATTAGCATTGCCTGCACCACCTTGAAATTGGTTAAAATCTACTGAGGAATAATCAAAGCCAGCGAAGTTGTCATCGCGGCCCGAAAAATCTTGACTTTGTTGGCCAGGAAAATCTTGACTTTGTTGGCCAGGAAAATCTTGACTTTGTTGTTCCCCTGGCCTGCTTTGACCGTTCCAGCTGTTTTGGCCACCTCTATTTAGATAACCGTGTCCTCTATCAGTTTGATTATTCCTCTTTTTCTTTTTGTTTCGCTTCTTTTCTTTCCCCGGTATATTATCATTTTCATTTACTCTATTAGTGCAACTATTATAATTATCCACAGTTTCACTTGAGTGGGGGTAATCTCTCAATCGATCATTGTTTTGTGCATGTTGGGTAATGTCTTGTCTTCTCAAATTATCTTCTGATTTCTGTCTCCAAAAATTCTTTCTATTTTTCTTTTTCTTGGGGGTATTACTGCCATCGCGATCATTTGATTTTCTTTTCCTTGCATTGTTATTATTCACCACAGTAGGTGTAGGGGCAGGTGTGAAAATGTTATCCTCTGCAGTTTCCTGATCCTCTGGAAGTGACGAATCTCTTTTCCTCTTCTTAGTACCACCCATTTGAACCAAACTTTTATCAAGATTCTCAATTGGAATTATTGAAGGTGCCATTTTGGATAGTTTCAGAAAATGTTCACGAATCTAGAAATGAAAGAAATATGTTTTAAGAAGAATCAATGACGTAGTACTGATTCATGGTGAAAGATTTGATCAAACTTACAGATTCTATTCGTTCCTCGTCTGTTTGTAAGAATCCTTCCTCTTTTGATGTAATACCAGAATTGGGGGGTTGTTCTTCTGTTTCTTTGTCTTTTTCAGCAGCAGCTAGTTTTTCTTCTTCTTCCTGAATGAAAGGTTTGACCAACTTGTACCTTTCGAATGGTGTCAAAAATTTGAAACTCTGCAGTTTTTTTCTAGTGTCATTGGCATCCTGAAAAAATTATCAAACAATGATTCGGTCTGACCTCTTAACATTATTTTTTTTCGTGGCAAGAAAATAGTGGAATTCTGAAAATAAACTCACTAGTATCATATAAAATTTATGATTTATCACAAAGCTATGAAGCATTTATAATTACCTCAACTTGTATTTTGTCCCCATCAAAAACTGAAAATGTTGGTGTGCACCTTTCCAAGGCCAATTCATCGTTAACACATTCATGGAATTTCTTCAATTCTAAATTACCCAGGAGTGTGGGAAGATCATCTCGAAAGTCATTGGTCTTTGTCAAATCATGAGGGCAATGCAAGGGACTATCAACATTTATTTTGGAAATCTTTTTTGTTGTGCCTCTAGCTCGGGTATCTTCCTTCAATATCGGCTGCAAGATAATCAATTATTAATGAAGGCCTGAACTGTTTTGTCAAATGGTATCATTTCAAAATCACATGACACTATAGCAGTACTTAACATGAAATGTCAATAATTTAAATGTCAACTCCTGTCTTAGTAGCCATTTTAAATGCATTCATTCATTGTGTAGTTTTTTATTGTCCCAAGATTGTCATGATCAATCAATTTTTGTCTAAAATTATATTTCAAATTATCAACTGATAATAATTTTGTTTGTCTAGTGTTAAGACTATAAAGTAGTCGGAACTTCACGGAGTGCAGACGTGTACACTCTCGAACAGAGTACACATGAAGGGCAATGTCGAACGCTGACTTTACGGTGTATGCAAAGTACCCCCCCTAATCTCGAGGTCAAATGTCAGGTTCAAGGTCATGTTTCATCTACATAGCTGATGGACGTCCTTCAAGGACAAACCTCAGACGTCCTTCGAAGTCAAAACTCAAGGTCACCTATCTGACACAGAATCGAATATCAAAGTCAACCCCGCATATTCAAGGTCATATGAACTTGAACATCGCTCAAGGTCGTGTGACGTTAGTCAAGGTCAATGCTATTAATTACGTCATAATAGGAGGCCAGAACTGGCTGCAATCTTCTACTCTCCTACCATTTAATAGATTAATAGTATTTGCAAATCAAATGAATTGTTCTATAAAATCAGGGTTTTGAATTTATTTTCTTAAAGTTTCTCAACTCTTATGGAGAAGCTGAGGCAAAAAAAGATTGTTAATGTACTTGGAAATGCACATACCTTTTCTAATGGTTGTTCTCTGGCTTTGAGAATGATCTGATGAAGTTCCAATAAGTTAGATCTGACCAAAGGCGGAATGGGATTACAGCAAGCCAAAATACCTTGCATTTCTCTGGGTAACGACTCTGATATCTGCAATAACATGTGGTTGGGTAGAACGTACCTACAACAGATAAGTTCAAATATCTCTCTAGCGTGAAACACAAACATCGGTACTTTACCCAGTGCTTTCATCTTCTTCCCTCGAGATCACATCCCTCCATTTGTAGAGTTCTTTCAAAGCATATAGTTGCCGGTTGTCGAACAATCGTTTACATTTTCTGTAAAAGTCTAGGTGACTGTCCTCTCTTAAAATGGGCTTCAGGTATCGCTGAAATGTGGGATATTTAAAATTAATCCAGTCACTAATTTGTATTCAGCCCTTGAGAAGACCTTTGACTACAATACCCAAAAAACGAAGAAACTTATATATAAGTTCTACTGTAAATAATTTTTCCCTGTAACCAAGTTATGAACTACATAAATAAATTGAACAGTACCTGTTTGCATACTTCCGTGCTCTTATTTATCACAGATACTAGTAAATTATCGAACCCATTGGCCGTTTCCAACAGTTCATTTTTCAGCTTATGGTAAATGTATATCAAATAATGTGTATCTTCTCTAGCATAGGACTTCAGTTGTTCGGGCAGAGGTCTGATTCTCCAATCAGCCAACTGAAACTGTTTGTTTGGTACAAAGTTACAGAATTTCTGCATAAGGTAAGCCAAAGACAAACCAGAGTAACCCAATTGTTTGGAGGCTTGATAAGTATCAAACATGTTGACTACGTACAGAGATAAATCTCTTTGGAGCCACTTAATATCAGAGTCTGCTCCATGGAAAATCTGAAAGAACACATAATAGTATATATTCACTAGTAATATATAAATTATATTTAATAAATAGCAATGCAATGTGAATGAATAGTGAGTACTGACAAAGGCGAGCCTGTGCTTGAGATTACAAACAATTTATATTCAGATGTTTTTTGAAGACATGCAAACAAGGATCTGAACAGACAGACAAAATAGAGGGATGTTTTTTTTTACAATATTTATTCATCCAAAACATAAAATTTCTTTTATGAAATTTTATTTGAAGGTTTTACTCGATTTGTGACACAGCGATATATAACTAGTTCAAAGTATCCTAAATGGTACAGTTCCTTTCTGATTCAACTTATAAAAAAAAG